GCTTTTTGGAGATTGGGTGGTTGCTACTTATTTAATAAATAGAGAAAATAAGAATTTTAATTGCCCTATAATTTGTAGTCTAGCCTTTCACAGAAATGAGGGCCACATAACTCTGGCTGTGGGATTTAGTGATTGGTGCAATGTTGGAATCTTTATACTGGACCTAGACCGTCCTAAAGAAGTTGGCTGTCCTGGTGTCCTTAATTCTGTGATACACTTTGTTAAACTGATTTGCCTTTTTGAGTTATACCAGAGCTTAGGGCTTTCAAATTATCCTGTCCTACAAGAGATATTGATCTATTTATTCTTCTAAAAGACAATCATTGTGAGCCATTTTTAGCTTTCCTTGGAAGTAATTGATAATAAATTAACCAAATTAGTCATATTTCTTCATGATGACATAGTTTATGAACCTCAAGGCCTTACAGTAATATTTCATATTAACCTAAAACAGTGTATAGTTCTCAAACTTACATTGGACATTGCTTTGGCTACCTACATTCTTGACCAATGATCAATTTAAAAATACTAATGATATTGATTACAGAATACCATCCTTCTTAGAAAGGTTACCAGAAGGAAGTACTGTGCCTTAGTAGAATTCTTTACATGAATGGCAATTTTATTAGACATTCATCAGCTATTTTCTCAATATATACCTTTTTTTTTTTGTACTAAAGAATGTGCTTGGCCCACTTGCATAATCTGAAGGCATAAGAAATAACTTTGGTAAAGTGCTGGGATTCTAACACTTTTTAATAGCTGACAATAGCTATCAACTAATTGCTTGCAAAACATTCTCAGATGATTTTCAATAGGACATAGGAGGCCACAAAAATTAAATCACTGGCACTGAGTAGAAATAGCCACAAGGTTATTGCCCCACTGGCAAAACATTTCCTGTTTTTAAGCAGACACATTCTCTCAAAGTATTATAAATATACTTAGTCTTCTAGAGCAACCTACAAAAAATATCTTTAACTTACCTGAATAATAGTGCTGTTTCGCCTCTCTTTATCTTGACTTGGTTGGGGAAAATGTATTCCTGTGATAATAGAAGATGCTCAATTGAATTCTCTTTCCTTTTTGTTGAAAGAACCTTTCCAGTCAAGGGCATTGAAAATGGGTAAACCTTCATGAATCTAAATATCTTGTATAAAGTATTTCTCAAGGTCTTTTTTTTTTTTTTTTTTTTTTTTTGAGACGGAGTTTCGCTCTTGTTACCCGGGCTGGAGTGCAATGGCGCAATCTCGGCTCACCGCAACCTCCGCTTCCTGGGTTCAGGCAATTCTCCTGCCTCAGCCTCCTGAGTAGCTGGGATTACAGGCACGCACCACCATGCCCAGCTCATTTTTTGTATTTTTAGTAGAGACGGGGTTTCACCATGTTGACCAGGATGGTCTCGATCTCTTGATCTTGTGATCCACCCACCTGGGCCTCCCAAAGTGCTGGGATTACAGGCTTGAGCCACTGCGCCTGGCCTCAAGGTCTTTTTTTTCTTGGAGGTTCTGAATTGTGGCATAGAGAGATATTGGTTCTCTGCAGGGGTAGGAAATCCAAATTACTGCTGTCTTCTATTTGTTTATATGAGTCATTTGTGAATTGAGTCAGGTGCTTTTTATACCAATGTAGAGGAGAAATAACACACTTTATATTTCATACAGCATTCAACAGAGGTTATATGCACAAACTTAGCTCTTTGAAGGCTTATTTTCATTTACATTTCCAGCACTTAGCACAGTGCCCCAAACATAAAAGATGTTGTATGTGTTGAATGCATGAATAATCACGACCTTCCTGAAGAGTCTAAATTCTGCATGGTCTTTTTGAGATTGTGGTAATTTGATGTATATGTTATTTTTATAGCAATTTAAAAATTGAATTATGAACTTTATAGTAATAAGCTGTTTTAGATACTTTGCTTTCTAACGTGAGATATAACGCATATTCTGAAACTTTAAATGGGATAGCCTAGTTGTCTGCCTTAAACCCACAATAAGACAACTGTTTTTGGTGCAGTGGAAAAATTAGCAAAATAAAGATTGCCTAATTGAATTACACTGCCAAAAAACAAACTATAATTTTCCAAGTTTAAAAAAAACTCTAAATCACAACATTAAGGGATTGTTTCTATTTTAAAATAAGAACCTCTTTCTTTTGGCCTTAACTGTAAACCCTACTTTTCCCTAATTTTACCCTCATGTGCCACAGTAGGAATACATATAGTCTAATACTTAGGAGTGTTGTAACTGAGTGAGTCAGAAGGAAAGCGCCATGCTCTGAGTTCCAAATTAAGAGTCCTTTATTTGCTGGCGACCGAGAGACAGCTAATGCTCAAAATTCTCTCAGCCAGAGGAAGGGGCTTGATTCCCCTTTACACCTTGATTTCGCTTTATACCTTGATTTAGATCGCAGAGGGGGAGCCTAGCTGAAGTGGAATTTTACAGAAGCAGAATGAGCAGGTTAGAGGGACGTGGTTGCAGACCAGGGTATTTTCCAAACAAGCTTGTAGGGGGTGCCAAGGAGAGTTAAACACAGTATCAGGTGTGTTTGCCAAGCAGGATGTAGTTACAACAGTTATATGGTAGGATAAGCATAGGGTCAGCGTGACGTAAGCACAGCATCAGTGTGGCCCAGTTATGCACCTGAGGGAGACGTGGTAAGGAGGGAGAGGCAAAAATGGAGCTTGTCAGGCTCACAGCTAAGATGCAGTCAATTAGGCTAGCACAAGTTAGGTTATTACAGGAGTATGGGTTTTGGAACTCAGAACTGAACTCAGGCTCCACTGTGCCACTTACTCCTGTGTGATATTGGTCAAACTACTTAAACACTCCAAGAAATCTGTTTTTCTCATTGTAAAATGGGGACAATAAAGGATCCTGTGATGTTTAAGAGAGCTAATAATGTCTATAAAGCATTTCAGCATATAGAAATGTTTAATACATGTTAGTTGTCATAGACATTGCATCCTTCTGCCTCTTTCATTCATGTTGATGTTTTCCCCCAGCCTTCCTAGCTACTTTTTAAAGACTGAATTTCTTTATATTTTTTCCCATCTCTTACTTTCTCATCCAAGTTCCCATAGTAGTCCACTACTGCACTCACCGTGTATTATGGTTTCATGTTTGTCTACCTTCTATAATATATCATGAATTCTTCAAAGGCAAAGAGTATGTTTGTATTTTTCTCAGCTCCTACTACAGGATTTGCCACATGGTGTTTAATAGAGTATTTGTTAAATTGCTAATTGACTTGTACATGGAACTCTTCTATAAATTGTGCAGTGTTAATCAAATGATAGTGCTATTTTAGGACTTAATATATGCCTATTAGGAAGTAATTATTTGGCATTTAAGTACAGAATATTAGACTGTTACCACAAAACTAATCGAACAGTGACTCCAAGTACTAGACTATAACAAATTTTTAAATTATCTATATGAAATTGATTTCAGGAACCTTTAAAACCTTATACATAAGTGAATCTATTTGCCTCCTTCCTACTGTAAGTCATCAGGATCAGTCCCATCTTTTAAATTGATTTCCCCCAAGAATTTTAAAGCTGATTGCTTAAATATTAAATATAATATTTTATTTAGCTAAGTCTTGACCAGCACTGAGAACTTGGTATGTGTCAGGCACTGAGGACTTTAGTATGCTATCTGGTCCTTACAACAACCCTTGTTTTCCATGCCTTTATGATTAAAAACTCTTGTTTTCCATGCCTTTATGATTAAAAACTGTAGTTTAAATGGGTAATTTGCACTAGGCCACAGATATAGTAAGTGCTAGATCCAGGATTTGAGCAAGCATTCAGTACTTTATATGTATTACATCAAGGGTGGATGCAGTGGCCCACGCCTGTAATTCCAGCACTTTGGGAGTCCAAGGTGGGTGGATCACTTGAGGTTAGGAGTTCAAGACCAACCTGGCCAACATGGTGAAACCCTATCTCTATTAAAAATACAAAAATTGGCCAGGTGTGGTGGCGTGTGCCTGTAGTCCCAGATACTCCAGAGGCTGAGGCAGGAGAATGGCTTGAACCCGGGAGGTGGAGGTTGCCTTGGGCCAAGATTGCACCACTGCACTCCAGCCTGGGCAACAGAGGGAGACTCCGTCTAAAAAAAAAAAAAAAAAAAAAAAATATATATATATATATATATATATATATATATATATATAACCTCAATTTAAATTTTTTAAGAAGATAAAGTTCAAATAAAACTTAGGCAGTGTGATTCTGAGGCCTAAAGTTTTATTCGTACCTTATTGCATATAAAGTATCTCATGCTTGTCTCAGAGTAGTTGTTCAAAAAATGATAGTTTTTTTCTCTTCTGATAAATTAAAAAATGATTATGTAAAAGCCTGTCACATGGACATTGTAAGGAAACATACTCTACTCTCTAAACCTATCTGGGCTTTTATATCCCTTGTTGCATTGTTGTTGACCGTCTTATTTTCCTCTGAGAGGATGTTCCCACATAGAAGAAATAACAGAATATCAGAAAAGGGTGTAGAATAGTAGGTTTGTCTCGTTTCAAAATTCAGTTTACTTTTTCACTAATGATTTATCAAAAAACAAGTTACTTTGTAAAGTCATCTGTGTGAAATTTTAGGTGTTTTGTCACTGTGTATATTTGTTTAATATCTTGAGTAATAAACATTTGTCTTTTTTAGATTTTTTTAAAAGTCACCTTTGCAGTTTGAGTGTGAATTAATTTGATGTTCAGTATCTTAAGATCCAAATAATCACACACAATTTTACTAATAACTTGCACACAGTTTTACTAATACATACATTTAGAAATTCAGTAGGTCAAATATTTTCTGATCGTTATTACATATAGCAAAATCCTACTATAACACAGTTTACCATTATTTTCTTCCTTAACATCAGCATTATACAGGGGTTGGTTCTATTATTATGTTTAAAAAAATGCTTTAAAGATATTTAAAGCTCTGTATTTCATGCAAGCATTGTTCATCTTTTTAAAAATAGGTAAATCAACAGACTGGGAAGATGATGGTTGGGGAGCATGGGAAGAAACCGAATCCCAAGAACCTGTAAGTCTTTCCAAATGTATGCATGTTTTCTGATAGTGGTATTTTCCTTTTGTAATGATGGTGATATATTTCAGTGTCAGGTTGACATTTTAAAATCTTTGTCAAGAACATATTTGTGCTTACTTAATAGTACTGAACTAGATACATCTTCTTGAAGAACTTAATGACATTGTAGCTAAAGCAGGTGTCTTCATGCATTTTGTGTTGTTATAACAACACCTGAGACTGGGTAATTCATAATGAATGGAAATTGATAGGCTCACAGTTCTAGATGTTGGGAAGTCCAAGATCAGAGACCAGCATCTGGCAACAAGCCTTCTTGGTGCATCATAATACGGTGAAGATGATAAGACCTGAGGGTTGTGAAGAGGGTGGGAGGAAAGAAAACATGAGCCAAACTCCTCTTTTTATAAGAAATTCACTCCCACAATAATGAACTAACTCCCTCATTAATAGTATTAATCTATTCATTCTGCTCTCATGGCCTAATTACCTCTCATTAGGCCCTACTTCCCAACACTGTTCCATTGGGGATTAAACTTTGAACACATGCTTTTTGGGGGCACATTCAAACCATAGTAGTGGGCTAAATGGAGAATAATTGTTTTAAGAGTCTTTATTTTTCTTAAGTTATTCTTTTACATTCTTTTACTATTCACTCAAATATTTGCTGTACCTACCATATTCTAGGCATTTTTCTAGGTGCTGGGAGTATAGCAAAGAACAGGGTAGACAAAGTTCATATATATGTTAGTATATTTTCACAAATGAATAATAGAAAATCTAACTTAAATTGATTGGCTTAAATACAAAGAAATTCACTTACATAAAAGGAAGTCCAAAGATAGAATCAGGCAATTCAAATATGTCAAGTTCTTTCCTTCTGTCTACATTTTTTTTTTTTTTGAGACAGAGTTTTGCTCTTGTTACCCAGGCTGGAGTGCAATGGCGCAATCTCGGCTCACTGCAACCTCCATCTCCTGGGTTCAGGCAATTCTCCTGCCTCAGCCTCCTGAGTAGCTGAGATTACAGGTATGCACCACCATGCCCAGCTAATGTTTTTTTTGTATTTTTAGTAGAGACGGGGTTTCACCTTGTTGACCGGGATGGTCTTGATCTCTTGATCTCGTGATCCACCCGCCTCGGCCTCCCAAAGTGCTGGGATTACAGGCTTGAGCCACCGCGCCCGGCTCCTTCTGTCTACTTTATATAGGATGAAGCAGCATTGGCTTCATCCTAATGCTTGTTTCACTCACAGATGTAATGGGCAACATGTTTCTTCATTAACGGTTAGAGAGAGAAAAAGACTCAGGCTTTTCATGACTCTTCTAGGAATTAGGGAACTACTTTCTTAGATGTCTCTAGCAAACCTTTCCTTATGTCTTCTTGGCCAGGATTGGGCCACATGCTCATTTCTGAACTAATCACTGGCAAGGGATATGAGATATTCATTCTTGAATCATATTATTCCTTGGAGTTGGAGGATAAAAGGGTCAGCTTCTCTCGAGGCCTGTGGCCACACAGGAGGAGTTGATATCTGAACAAATCAGGATTTTTTTTTTAAAGAAAGAAGAATTAATATTAGATAGGTCTTCTTACAGTCCTATTTCTAGGAGCTTATACTCAATGAGAGGGAGACATAAAAAGAAAGATGGATGAAAAGTGTCAAGTGATGGTAATAGGTATGCTGAGAATTCAAATAGTAATGTGATAGCAAGTGATCAAGTGACTGTTATAGATTTGGTGGTTAAGGAAGTCTTTTCGGAGGATGTCACAGTTAAACTGAGATCTGAAAGGCAACATGGAGTCAGCAACGTGAAAATCTGACAGAGAGCATATAGGCCAGGATAACAGCTCATGCAAAGTCTCAAGGCAGGAATGGGCTTGGGAGTTTGAAGGAACATAAAGAAGGCCCAGTGTGATATAGCAGGACTGAGACTGTTACAAGATGGGGCAGAGAAAAAAGCAGGCCAGATGTCAAGCTTTGTGGATTTGATGTTTATTCTCAATACAGTAGAAAACTACACTTAATCTGATTTCTGACTGTAACAGCTCACCTTGGCTACTGCTTGCAATAGGTTGAAGTTGGGAGCAAAAGTAGAAACCGGGGGAGACCAATTACAAGACTGTTGCAGTAGCTTAGTTGAAAGATGATTGTGGCTTTGATTAAGGTGGTATATTAGTGAAAATGGGTAATGGATGGATTCTGCATAATTTTCAGAGGTAATGATAAGACTTTCCAGTGAGCTGGTTATGAAGGATGAGAGGAAAGTGAAAAATCAATAACTTCTTTGATCTGGGGTATGGTGTGAAACAGATAAAACATGATTGTTGAAAAGACTGATATTCTCAAAAGGTGAGTAATAGATACTCTCTTTACTTTTGTTAATATTTGAAAATATCCATAATAAGAAGTTTTAAAAAAACCTTCCCAGGTATTTGGCTTGAATAACCAGAGGGATGTTGTATCATACTGAGTTGGGGAAGGTGAGGAAAAGAGCAGCTTTAGCAGAGAAATGAGAGAGCATCATGTGCTAGGAAGTAGAGATATGCTCATGTAGTGGAGATTTATGGGAAAACTCCATGAGGAGATTAAGAACAGGAAACCATTTCAGAAGACCTCAAGGAGAATTAGGATGTGTTGAATAGGATAAAATGCAGCTCAAGGAAGTTGATTACCCCAGCACCTCTGTGAACAACACCTGGTCCTCTTCTTTTCTAATGCTATGTCAAAATGGAGCCTCAGCTACTCTCTCTCTGCTCTTACTGACTGCTTTCTGCTTACTCATGATTTCAACTATTTCATGGCTTTGGCTATGTCTCTTGTCTGTGGTTGTCTTAGATTCTTTCTCCTTTTTTGTTTCACATTCAGACGTCATATGAAGATTTTACTGAGTCTGTTGATTGCAACCTAATACAGGATATTTGGGGAGGGGGACATAGTGTTTATACCAGGCCACTTAATGGGACATCAGCAGATCTATTAATGCTGCCTCCTTATCAGACATTCATCAGTAGTTTAATTAGCTATGGCAAGAATGAGGAGGGGAGGAAAGGAAAGGAGAGGAGAGGGTTTGTGTAAACAAGCTCGGAGATTCTTCATGACTCTGTGAAACCTTTCAGAAAGGGATGTGCTTTGAGAATTTCCCAGAAAGCGATAGTGTAACTAGCAGTACATGTGGTATTTGGTACAGTTGCTTTTAGTATTTGCTTTCTGGAATCATGTAGCTGAGTTACCATTATAAATAATATAAGAGACTTCCAAGTAAGTTTGAGGTTTACTGGACTAAACCTCACAGCCATTGCATGTTAAAGTGGACACATGCGTTTATAATTTCAGAAGAGGTTCCAGTATGACAGTTACTATCAAATATATAAAATTGTGCTGGTGCTGAGTTATAGTATATTTATTTCAGATCCAGATGGCCACATCTTAAAGAGCCCACTGGTACATACTTGGCTTTTTCTATAATGGGTTTTTGTTAATATTTGTGAATGACATAGTTAGGCATTTGTGTGAGAGGCTAGTTGTCCTTAAAGCTACCTGCTGATTCTTCCCTGATAAAGTATTAAGTGCGTTAGTTTAGTCATAATGTGCCACAGACTTGCTTTTTGACTCATCGAAAATGTGCCTTCCTAAGGGTGCTTTACTTTATGGCATTATAACCTAAGGACTAGAAAAGAAGGAAAAGGTGCCACAAAATGGGGTCAGAGAAGCAAGCAGGCCTGAAACAAGGCTTTGTAGACTTTGAATTTATTCTAAATATGATCAGAAACCACATTATCTGATTTCTGGTTTTTTAACCAGAAACAAGGCTTTGTAGACTTTGAATTTATTCTAAATATGATCAGAAACCACATTATCTGATTTCTGGTTTTTTAAGCTCACCTTGGCTGCTCTGTGGAATAGGTGTAGTTAGTTTTTCTTTTCTTCTTAATTAGCTATACTTCTCTACTCTTGAGGGTCATGGGCCTCTTTATTTTGCAGTATTTCATTTTGATGTGCTACTGTTGCAGCTGATTCTAAGTGATATGGAAAATGATATTGTCGTTAGAATGCATAAATGTTAACACACTTCCTTTAAATCTGACCTGTAAAGCGTGTCTTCTTTTTATCAGCAAGGATATACTAAATCTAGAGGTAACCTAAATCTAGGGATCTCTAGGGATAAATCTAAGGATCTTTTAACTGATGTAGTTAAAAGCTGAAAGATGCTCCTACTCATTCTACAAACACATAAAAATACTGGCATTTAGAACATTATTTCATCTGGATAAAATTTGAATATTTACAAATGGCCCTAATGGATGAGAGTGGCTTGGTGTTCTTTGTCTTAATCGATTTGCTCATGTTGTGACTTGACAAACAGAGCAAATGAAACAGTATTGATATACCTCATTCACAACAATTTGGGGTGGACCAGTTCTTATTATACACCTTTGAACCCCTGTATCTTGTCATGGGTCCCATGTATACGGTGAGGGAGAATGCATTTGGGTGACAGTAAAAGGAGGCAGGGACAATGAAGTTCAGAGGTTATCTAGATGTTCAAGTTATCCTGTTTGTTCAAAAGAGCTTCTTTGAATTTGGATCCTTTCCTTAAAATAAGACATCTTTGCTGAAGGAGACTAGTGGGTGGGAATAAAAATGGCATTGTGGCTAGGGTAAGGCCTATGACCTCTCCCTTGAACAGCAGCATCAACCAGAACTTTCCACATATAGCACTACTATGAAGTTTTGCTGAGCAAAATGTTTTATACCAGAACTATTAGAAATCTACTGAGCTGAGGTAAGAGACTCTTATTTCTACTACCGTCTATGATTATGAACAACTCCAGAACTATAACCAGCTCCGAAGGCAAGAATTAGAATAAATTTTATCAGATGTGTGGAATGTAAAAGTATATGCTCTAGTTGCCTAGTTAGAATGTAAAGGGGTGGAAAGAGAACCTTTTACTCTCTCTTATTAGGAACAGATAGCAAACTGAAAACCTACCTC